ATATATTATACTCCACAAAAAAAAAACAAACGTTAAAATAATGTTGAAGAAACGTAGTTTATTGCTTAGAATGACAACATCGCTGAAATTTTTTTCTAAATTTTTTAATAATAATAAAGGTAAATTTAAAAACCCAAAATTTTATTTTGAAAAGAAAACATTTTACATATATTTTGAAGAAACCCAGAAAATTTACAAATGATACAAATAAAAAACTTTATTTACTAAAAGTATTAAAGGATAGTAAGTAAGGAATTTATGAATAACCCCTGGGAAAAAAGATCACTACCAAGCTATTTATAATTTGTTATGTGTTGTTAATTGCAACAAACATAATTGTAAACTGTTTTTTTTTTCAAGTCCCGCTGGGTTTCTTGCTAGTTCTTCCCAGGACAAATATTTTTTTACAAACCAGTGGTAAATTAAAAAAAAAGTAACGTTGAATAAGTATTAATTAAAATCTATATTGAATAAAAATATTTAAAATTTGTTTCTGTTTCAAAACCAGAAAAAAAACTATTGGCTTACCATTTTATCAATGTGCACCTTTTGTAGATTTATTTGTTTTCATACAAATGAGTTCCGGAAAATAACGAACGCAATTGCAGAATAATGAAAGAAGTTCCAAAATAGTGTTTTCACAAACTGTTACTTTAGACCCGAACATAAACATTTCATTGTGTCACAAAGGGATACCATTCAACATAATGAAACGCGACAACTTTGTTTGGAAACATTAACAGCCCATTGGAAACTCTTCGCAATTAATAGTGCTTTTAACTTAAATCTGGCCAAAATAATAAAAATAAAGGATTGTTGGCGATATTTATTTATTTATTTCGAAAAACAACAGCGTCTGCAGAAAATATTTAACATTAATGTAACAAACTAAAAATATGGCCAATAACAGGTTTTCTTTATATTGCTTAATGGTATATTGTTGTTGGAAGAAATAGGAATAAAAACAATCCAAAAGACAAATCATAAGCAATTTTGTGTAACGAGGGTGGTAATAAGCTTACAGATGTGTTGAGTTCTTTGAAAGGTCTTGTAAATCGATATTATATGTTACATAAATGCATATACATATACATACTTACGTACAAACACACATATATATACAATGTGGTTTTAACTATAACTGCTATGCTACTTAATGGCTTTCACGATGTCAAGCCTAAACACAATTTTAGATTTCGCAAAGATGTCAATGGGTACAAACTGTTCATCAACATACTTACACAGAGTTTCGGCAGTAATTTGTATGGTGCCAGGGAGTTTGTAACAAGGTTGTATTGAAGGAACGGTACGGTACGGTTTTGGGGTACGGAAGAAGTGTGTAGTGTTTATCTATATATTAGAAATTATGTCAGTATACATCGATTCCGTATGTGGAGATGTGTAATAATTACTAGGTATACTATAAGCACTCTGGTAGAATGAACTTGAAAGCATTGCATATGATGTCTATACCTTCGGTGTACTCTGCACTTTCCAAATATTTTTTCTTGGGATATGCTGATCCATCCCGTATGGCTTTGACGAAAGTACAGAACGTTTTAGGGTGTTTTTTGATGCTGCTTTCACAACTCGATTTAAACTTATTGTAACGTTCTCTCTGAACACGGCGTTCTCTTGCTCGGAGTAATGAAAACTCATCGTAATCTAACCTATTCTCGAATTTTTCAACGTGTACAAACTTTTGTTTTCTGCTTAACTATTTTTATTAAAGCTGGCGTGTACCATTTAGAATAAGACCGCTTCCCTGTGTTATTACCAAAAAGCACATGTAAACGAACGAAACTATCCAGTATGTTATAAAAGATGTCTGAAGCCTCGTCTACAGTGTCTACACAAAAGAGAACGTCAGTCCTGTTCCAAAAAATACATGTTAATGCTATCATAATCAGTCCTCCTGAAATTTCGCCTCGGTGCAGCTGTTTCTCGTAGAGGAGTAATACTTTATTCCAAAACTATAAATCAGAAAGAAAAAAGTGCGCGATCCTCGCGTAGCTAATTAATAGCGACATGATTTTTTGCATTAGAGGGTACAGTATAAACATTATGAATAGGCGGTAACACAATAATCCTCAAATGACGAGTCATATAATCAAGTCAACATGAAAGGTAAGAGCTTATGATGAAACAATACAATAATTAAAAAGATATATAAATATCGCGAATGGTACAATATAGACGTGTTAAGTATTGTTGATAGATTTAATAAATTCATATTTAATGAGTAAATATTGTGTTTTATGTTTGTGCATTATAACTGCCTCGTTGGTCTAGTGGTTGTAGTAGTGCGACTGCTAACCATGAGGTCCTGGGTTCGAATCCCGGTTCGGGCCAAAAAAATCAATTATTGAATTTTTCTGTCAAGAAATTCTCAGTAGCTGCCCGGAGTCAGGATGTTGGCGGTGTCTCACCCCCGTGCCTCGGAAAGCACGTAAAGCCGTTGGCCCTGCGCCTGATCTCTCTCCGGTCGTGTCGGTTTACCGTCCCATCGGATTATGAGAGTGAGGGAATAGAGAGTGCACCTGTGCTTGCGCATACACTTGGGCACTATAATCCTGTCCTGCGCCGATGGCTAGTCTCAGTTGAGGTAGGATGCCGTGGCTGAAATTCGGTCTGAAGGACAATATTGTGTTTTATAATAACATAAAAGAAAAATACTTCCATAGACAAAATAACACAAACTAATATACAATATAAAAGACTCCCGAAAAAGCAATTGATGATTTATTAAATCGAAAGAATAAAGTAAAAGAAACCATAATGTATATTACTTGCACAACATTCGTAAATAACGTGGACGCACCTTCGTCGCACAATAATCGCGCATACGTACAGTATCCGTAAAAAGCTACATATTATATCTATAAATAGATATAATATGTAGCTTTTTGATTGAACTCTGTTTATACTCAGTGAAAGAATAATATATACTAATAATGTAGACAAACTGAGCTGAGAGAGACCAGTGAATTGTTTTAACAATATTTGAGGTGATTATGTTAAGCAATAAAATATCTTTAAAAAGAGAATAAAAGAAAATGCAAAGTAAGATTAAATTAATTTTAAAATGTCTCTTTCCTGTAATATATGCAAAGCCGGAGACGTGTCGTTCTTCCTTACGTAGATCCTCCCGTTTTTTGTCCACACATATTGTTTCGCCGACTCTCTACATTTCTTTAGCAAAAGCTTATTGCAGTATGTAAGATGCTCATTGACATAAATAGGACGTACGCTGCTATAATTGTAAGGTGAAGGATCGTATGTATCAAGGAATGCCATAAAGCACGGTCCTGTGCCACCTGCATCGATCGACTTCCTTTATATCTCACCAGTTCGTCACTCCATCTAGTGGGGTCGGCCTGCACTTAGCCTACGGGTACGAGGCTACAACTCGAAAACCGTTTTCCCCATCGGTTGTCGGTCCTCTGAGCTATACAAAATTTTTATTATATTGGTTTTGAACCAAATATAAAAAATGTGACATATTTATTTCCAGTAATTTACCTAGTTCTAACTGAAAAAGTTTAATTCAAAATTTCAATCCCATTTCTCTTGTTATAAAAAATGTTTATCGCTATGAATGAGGTGCCCATTGTTTTCAGATAGTATCGAACCTATTAAACAAAATTATGTTGATAAATGCATCTTAGACTCCAACATTTCATAAAATACTACAGTCACGTCTAATTTTTATACAATAGCTTGGTCTAAAGTTCTAAACAACCTGGACTCATAAGCTAATTTGTTTAATAATTTGGAGATATCGGTGTAAGGAATAACAGAATAATGTTGCTGTATTACGTATGGTGAATGTCAAGTACCGGAGACCATTTTTCGTGGAAACGAGACATTCCATCTTAGTCCTTAGTGGTAACAACGTATCTGAATTTTTTTCTTAGTCTAGGATAGATGTAGATATCTATAAGTTACGACATCGGGCGGACTGCGTGCTCAATTTCTAAAACAATTTATTAATTTTGATTACGTATTTTTATTAAATCTTAAATAACTTTTAATTGTAATACGTATTATAAAAGTAAAGAAATGTACAAAAATTTTCTCAATTAAATTATAAATATATAATATATTTTTTCATTTTACATACTAATAGGAAAAGCATAACAGATTGTGTAATAGACTTAAACAGAATACTGTTTTATCAAATCAGTCTGAAAGGTTGCTTTAACCCAGGTCTTTTTTATAGATTTATTATTGCAATTTAGGCCGTAGGTACTTACTATAACTACAGATACCAACTCTTGAAGAGCACATAAAGATGTTCGAGATGAAAATATGATAAAATATAATCGTTTCATTTATACATACCAGTACATGTTGGGGAGTAGAATTAAGGCATTCAGTTTATGTGGAAGATGTGTGTTTTGTATATAAAATGGCAGGGATATGGTCAATACAGGAATTTTCCGAAATATAAACATTTGTCTGTTTGCACTCGGTTACTCTAAAACGATAAGATTCAGATAACGATGAAATTATTTTTAATGTATAACTTTTTCTACTTTCATATTATATTGTAATCCGTTGAATAAGTCCCATAAAAGGCGAGGACATGGTTATCTGCTACTAGCTGTAACAGTAATACTTAAGCCGTGGGATATAAATAAAATATTATACAATAACTCCCGCAACTCCCCGAGCTTGAACCAATTTACAGTAGAATTAACGTGATCATGACTCTGTATAACATATATTTTGAACGACTTTTTTATTCAATCGTTACCACCAGTGTAGGAATTCCTTTGTTTCAGGGAAGCCTTTTATCTCCGTAAATTGCACATGGACTCAAATCCAGACCTAGATGTTTGTAGGACATACAAACAAGTTTTCTTTGTGAGATTCAAATCAGCGACCTAGAGTACACTAGTTTTTTATACTGCTGCCTACGCCGAAGTATTTTTCCCCAGTTGTAAAATTTATAAATATTAACCTAATGGTTAATAGTTATAGACTATCTTGTCCACTTATTTAGTGTTAGAGCATTGTGCATATCTACGCCATGGGTTATAGGTTTGAATTCCTACCAGAATCATGTCTGTGCAAAAACACAATAATATATTGTATTATATTAAAATATTTTAAAATCTTTTTTTTCTGTATGATTTTCTCCATAGTTTTTCAACAAAAGAAACAGTTAATCCACTATATTTCCATCTCAACATTATGCATAGGTACTAATTTCATTAAGTGTAATTCCCTCGGCTTTGCAGCAGCCGCTCTGAGTTATGACCGCTGATAGATTTCATTAGAGAGCATTGTACGGTGCTTAGGCGGAAAATTGGCCTTATCTATAATATTAAATGTACTCGTATTGCCAAGACTTACCACTTCCTATCAATATTCAAAGTAGATGTTATTTTAAGTTCACAGATATGGTTATCTTTGTAATTTAAATTGAAGTGACTGTTTGTTATATAGATATAATTGGCTTCTTTAAAGTCATTGTGTTATTTGCATGCTACATAAGACATACACAACCCTATGTAAAAATTTTGTTTGTCTGCTGTTTGACCGGGCTAATCTTTATACAAACAGACAGACAATGCCAGAAAGAATACCTAGGCTATAATCTATCCGAAAACTTCTAGTCTTGTATAAAATATACTTAATAATCTTTTCGTCTTTTGTTGAAAAAAAAAAACATTGAATCAAAAAATGGTCCTAAGAGACTTGTGGCCGTGAAAGAACAAGAAAATAACTACTTGCCTTCTTCTCGACTCACCGCAGACTACAAGGCAATCTCTTGGCACTTGCACATTCGTCGGCAACGAGGCTGCACTATCGACCTCCGGTCTGAGCAGGGGGTCGATGTAGCGGCGTGTGAAGTCGATGTGGCGCTGAATGATATTTGCGGCTGCTTCTTGTTTCTTTATAAGAACCTCAAATTATCTATATGCAGTCCGCAGTATCGCAGTAGCCAAGGATAGTTAGGAAATAAATGTTTTTTTATCCTCGCCTTCGGCGTTATGGTAGCAGCAGAGTATATATTATTTATTCCCGTTTAGGGTTGATTAGTCTGGCTGCTACATCACTCTCCCCCTAGCGAAAGCGTACCGGAGGCTTGCCGACTCGCCCGTATCTCGTAGTTTTGAAAATAGGTTTTAACTGGGTTGATGTAGATGATGGAGTTTCAAGCTTCCTCGCTGGTGGTTTTGATGATGATGATGAATCCTCTGAAGTATCCTCGTTAATAATATAGGCAGGCTTTAGTCGGTCGATCGAAATAATCGTAGATTTCCTTCCGGGTATTTGTAGTTTAAAAGTCTTGCTATTTCTCTCTAATACTTTATACGGTCCATCGTAGGTAGGTTGAAATTGTTTTTTCATTGCGTCGTTTCTTACAAAAACTTGCTTGCATGTTTTCAAATCTTGGTGAATGAATACTGATTTATTATTTCTGTGTGATTGCATTTCGGTGCATTTCGACGATAAGGCTTTGTTGATTGATTCTCGAAGTTGAGTTACGAAATCGTAATCCATTTCTTGTTTGTTTGACGCTGCTGAACTGAAGAAGTCACAAGGCAGTCTTATGCTGCAGCCGTAGGTTAACTGAGCGGCGCTAAGACTAGTGTCTGCACGCGGTGTTGCTCGTAGTCCGAATAGCACTGTAGGTAGCTCATCAATCCACTTTGTATGTTGAGATAAACGAGTTTTGAGTGCGGTCTTTAATGTACGATGCCATCGTTCGATTATTCCGTTTGACTGGGGATGGTATGCTGTTGTACGTGTCTTCTGTATTCCCATAGTTTGAAGAAGTTTGAGGAATAGGTTGCTTTCGAAGTTTCTTCCTTGATCCGTTGTGATGGTTTTAGGTGATCCGAAACGAGTAATCCAATTTTCATAAATTATCTTCGCGACGGATTCGGCTGAAGTATCATCGGTAGGTATTTCAGAATCAGAATCAGAATTTTTATTTGCGTAAGAACATGGTATATAAAGGTGGTACATGTTAAAAAGGTGCACATGTCTCGCTATTACAAATAGCATGCAAAATTAATATTATTATCTTGTATAATCATAAAAATAATATCACAAAGTCTCATTACAATAAATTACATTGAATTAAAGATAAATTAAAATATATAATATAACATAAATAGTATTGGGGATTGATGTCAATAAAGTCTTTAATGTCATATATTTTTCTGTCAATGAGCCACTTAAATAATTTTGATTTAAATTGATTAATATTTAAATTTTTGATGTCATTAGGAATTATATTATATATCGTTAAACACATTTTTAGGCAACTTTTATGGTATTTAGCTGACCTTGGGATAACGTCTAACACAAGTCTATTAGGATTTCGCTTCAATCTTGTGTTCATGTCACTTGCTTTCATAAACAAATTGATATTTCTCTTCACGAAACAGCTTATTTCAAAAATATATAGTGCCGGCAGCGGAAGTATGTTGAGATTTGCAAAAACTGTTCTACAGGATATGCCAGGCGGTATTCCAGAGATAGCTCTAATACACTTTTTTTGAGCTATAAACGCCTTTTGTATATTTGTGCTATTTCCCATTATTATCCCGTAGCGCAAAATGGAAGCTATATACGCGTGGTATATAATAAGAGCCGTTTGTAAGTTTGTCACTTTTCTCATTTTGTTAAGGGCATATACAAAACTATTAATACGATTACACAAAGACTCTATATGTAATTTCCAGTTTAGGTCCTGGTCTATGACTACTCCCAGAAACTTGGTAGACCTTATTTCCTTTAATTTATTAATATTTAGCTTAAAATTTAATTGTTTATGTTTGGATTGATTAAATTGGATAAAATGTGATTTGTTTAGATTTAGTTTTAAATTGTTTACGTTTAGCCATTTAATAACGTTGTCAATTGTTTTATTTATATCAGTTTCGTGATCGTGTATAGAGTTTTTTTCAGATGTCACAATAATAGATAGATCATCGGCGAACAAAACACATTTATGATTTGTCACTACCGTTATATCATTGATATATAAAATAAACATTAGAGGCCCTAGCACACTTCCTTGGGGGATACCACACTCAACAATTTTTGATTCAGAAGCGTAAGATAAAACTTCGTCGCCTACTAACTTGCTGACTACTACGCGTTGACTTCGATTGTTTAAGTAGGATTTTAGCCACTGATAAGTGGGTCCTCTTATTCCTATTGATTCTAATTTATTTAATAAAAGTTTGTGATCAACAAAATCAAAAGCCTTTGACATGTCAAAAAATAGTCCTGTGGTCAAATATCCGTCATTTAAATTATTTAATATTGTTTTAACTAGAGTGAAGATTGCTAATGTTGTGGACTTTTCCTTTTGAAATCCAAACTGTTCTTTATTAATAATATTATACGTGTTACAGTATTTCATTATTCTTTGATGCATGCATTTCTCAAATATCTTAGATAGAATTGGAATTAAAGTAATGGGACGATAGTTGCTGACCTCATCTTTTGCACCTTTTTTGTGCAGAGGCTTGACGATAGATTGCTTCAGCAACTCAGGAAAAGTACCCATTGAGAATGAGAGGTTTATAAGGTGTGTTAAGATGGGCACAAGCTCTTTAGTACATTCTTTAATAATTCTCGTACAGATTCCGTCAAAACCCTCAGAGTTAGTATTGTTTAGGCTAATAATTTCTTTTTTAACTTCATTTTCATTTATTGGAAGAAGAAACATTGAATTTGGCATAATCTTGGTATTTTGATTTCGTTGTGTATTAATCATTGTAGTATCTTTAAAATTAGTCAGTTCTACGAAATAATTATTGAAAGCCGCAGCTATTTCAGAAGGATTGGTCAATATCTTATGGTCAAAATTTATTTCGGAAATGTTATTATCTACTTTGGAATAACAGGTTTCATTTTTTATTATTTTTCATTTTTTATTAATTTCATATTAGAATTCTTTTTTGAATTGTCAATGCATTTTCTTAAAATTTTGGAGTACGTTAAATATTCATTTTTATTTTTTTTCCGTTTTACTTTTATGGTATCTGAAACGTAATAACCGCTTTGTTTTACAGCTGGTTTTCAAGCCGTTGCTTATCCATTTTGGTTTATGTGTAATAGAATTATTGATCCGAATTTTTTTTACTGGGAAACATAGGTTGTAGAATAGACAAAGTTCAAAATGAAACTCTGCGAATGCCGTGTTGAGATCAGTGTTCGAGTAAATTTTGCTCCAAGTCATACTGTCTAGACACTCCCTGAATTTGCGGATGTTTTCACAACTGTAGTCCTTTCTCAATATAGTAAATGACCTTGGTTTAAAAGATTGGCGAACTGGAAAACTTAAAAGCTGTGCGGTGTCATGATCCGATAGATATAGGGGAATCACTTTGGCAGTAGCGTCTCTGATATTGCTAAGGACATGGTCAATACATTAATCTTTGCGAGTTGGTACATTAATATGTATATTCAAATTATAATTACGACATAAATCACTAAAAAAGATTGCAATATTACCTTTTTTTAAAGTGTTGATGTTAAAGTCACCAGTCAAGACAATTTTGGTATCATGTTTATGCTTTCTTAATAGGTCAAATAATAGTTGGTCTAGTTTATGTAGGAAGACTTTAGGGTCTGATTTGGGTGTACGATAGATACATATAACTATTAATTTATGCAGAGGTATTTCAATTCCACAAACCTCGAAAGTGTTTTGGGTTGCATACGCTTTTAGTTTTGTAATTTCCCGGTAAGTACTGTTCTTTTTTTTGCTAAGATACATGTGCCACCCCTCTGCTTATCTCTACAAAAGGCTGTTGCCAACTTATAATTATTAAGGTTTATATATTTTTCGTTGCCTGTTTTCAAAAAGGTTTCAGAGAGACATATCAAATCCGGCTCATTACCAGACTTGTTTAGTTCCTCTAAAGTGATTTCCAGAATATCTTGCTTTGCTAGTATACTGGCAATGTTTTGGTGCATTATATTGAAATGATTTTTGGTTTTATTGCCTTGAGGTGCGAAATGAATTGTTTTTATTTATTCGTGGGAAAAACTGATGTAAAGTAGTTTGATTTAATCGCGATGATTTGGTAATAGCAGTATCGTTAGAGCTATTATTCCTTGGTAGGGCTCGAGAAAAGAAATGTGGAATGGTTTCTTTTGTGGGTTCTACCTGAATATTTTGCATTTTAGGCATACCGCGCACTATAAATTTTCTCAGCTGGTTAGGGTTGAGATAGTTGCGTTCATAATCGACACAGTCAATCACATAATTAATAGACTTAGCTAACTGAAAAACATTACTAGAGTTGCAGTTGATATAGTGGCAGTTTTGATATTTATTACAAATTCGATTTATACTGTGGTTCAAGTCTATTACATTCAAGTACTTATTCGACAATACATTTATTACAATTATGTCATGTTTAATAAACTGTTTTACTAATCTGTGTAGGTTTGCAGCTGTAATTTTCTTATCGTAATCGTTTTCTCCAATACAAATTATTATTTTGTCACTAGAATTAACTTTTAAATTGTTTACATTACATAATACATCTGGAGACAGTGCATACGGCTTTGTTTGTGCAGTAACGACGTATTTTTCATATTGTGTGTGTTGTCTTGTACGCATTAAGGCTGCCGACAGCCCAATACAGCGTTGCGTTCCGAAGACAAATATCCGTTTACTATCGTCAGCATGTCTACAGCATTCAATGTTCGTCCTTTCAAGAATCTCTTGTGAGTCATATGATAGTCTTTGTTCCAATGTATCAATATATTTTTTCAGCTTCAATATCTCCTTTTCTGCGGATTTTAGTTGCTTCTGCAAGATCTTAATTTTATCGTAGAGGGTTTGTAGTGAAGAGTCCAGGGGAGCTGTTTTGACGGTTGATGTAGGTTTTGAAAATGTCATGGGAGATACAGCTTCGGGTTGTAGTATTAAGCGCCTATTACTTTTTTTGGAGCAATGAATTGTTTGGCTGTCGTTTAGTGGAGATTGGCACAGGGCCTTTAGCATATCATTTTCCTTTGCCAATTTGCTAAGTTGCTGACGGAGGTTTTTATTTTCCAATGAAGTATTATCAAATTCATTCTGTAGGATTGCATACTCTGACCGTAGCAGACTGATAGTCTCTTTCATTTCCTGAATTGGGATTGGGTCGGTCACAGTGCAGTCCAAACTTTTTGATAGTAGTATATCCAGGGAATCAAGAGTCTCCTGCGTTATTGAATCATTACTCAGATCAGGGATCGGCGAGTCTAATGACAGATGCGATGCAACACTTGTGTTCGGTGTTTGTGATTGTTGTTCATCAGTGCGTGATGACATGCCTGAGGGTGTTCCTTGGAGGTGGTCTATATTTGAGTCTATGCTCACTGGTGTCGATTTCGAAAACTCAGGCGCATTTGCTATTAGGGTCAGATTGGACGAAGAAGTATCGCTTAATTTTGGGATATTGTCCTTTTTCCTTTGAGTCACATAAAATGGGGGATTTGGTGTAGAAGTCTCCTTCGCTGTTTTGCAACACGACTTACATTTCCAATTCTTTTTTCTTTTTGCATTTTTGAGACAGTGTAGCTTTTCAGAGTAGCCTATGCAATCGAATTCGAAATAGTTGCAGCACAATGAACATAATACTGTATTTTTTGAGTCAACTATCAGTATGCATTTGTGGCATTTAACGGTAAGCGCCCTCTTGCGCTCACTGATAACACCTTTTTTTAGTGGGTTTCGACATTCTGTAGTATATCTCAGTATACACTTAATTGCAGAATTAGTACCGTTATATCTTGGTAGATGTCACGCTGTTGCTTCAGTTGTTGTATGGCGAATAGCGACGTCAAGTGATGAGTAGCAAGATTAGATGTAATTATCTTATATCGTGGAAACTAGTACCTTTATGTATTGGTAGACGACGCGCTGTCGTTGGCAGATGTATGGCAAGTAGTGACCTCTAGTGGTCAGTACTAATATTAGAGGCGGTTGTCCTGATCGCAATTAGTGCTAAAAATCTGTTCTTCATTATTATCAATAAGTGTCACCAATATTTGTATGACAACTAGTGTCATCTAGTTGTGAGTAGTAGTGACCCACTATCCTATCATACCTTAATGAATCATCAGCTGATTGTGTTTACATGTCATTTGAAAATATAACGTACAAAATTATGTTTATCACCAATTTTCACGTAATTTACTTTCACTCACCAGGTCAAAATGCTTGAATAATCCATTAGTTAACTAGTTAATATCCCATACTGCATTTATTTACTCGTAACGTCAACGTTTATGGTCACTATTTATCACGAAATACACATAAGCACCACACAATAATCCTTGATGGTTTCCTTATAATAACGTCTGTGGCACTTTATCAAACTAAGTACTATAAAACACTGCTGATTTTAAAGTCATATTGGAAGTATAAATATTTTTAAACATTAAAAATTCACAGATTTGATTTGACTGTGGCAACACTAACGCCTACCCTATATTCTTCTTTTATTGCTTCTGGCCATCTTGTTGTTCTGTCGATCATTGTTACGAGATAACGATGTCCTTGCGGTGAAGTAGGTAATGGTCCAACGATGTCAACGTGCAGGTGTTCGAATCTCTCCGTGGGTGGAAATGTAGCTAGGCTACTTGATGTATGCCTTTGTACTTTGCATTTTTGGCATTGAATGCATTGCTTCGCCCAGTTGCCAACATCCACTTGCATTGAAGGCCAAAAGAATTTTTCAGTGATGAGTTTTCTTGTTGTTCTAACACCTGGATGACTGATGTTGTGCAGTGCATTGAAGACTTCGCGACGACATTCTTCTGGTAGGTATGGTCGCATGGTTGTCGTTGAGGCTTCACAGTATATAGGTAGATGCGTCATTGGCATTGTAACTTGCTTGATGGACAAGTTACCTTGCTTCGATAGATGTTTTATGTTGTCATTATCTCTGTCTTGTGCTGCGGCGATCTTATGATAGTCGATTGATGTAGGGCACGTTACGCTGTTGATTGGTACGCGACTGAGTGCGTCGGCGACTATGTTGTCCTTTCCACTGATATGACGTATGTCGGTCGTGAATTCACTTACGAAAATAAGTTGTCTTGCTCTTCGTGGTGTTTCCGATAGTGATGGTTACTTTGGAAGTACGTAAGTTAATGACAAAACGATCAGGTTTCGACCCTCGAACGTTTTTCTGAAGTGCTTGATAGCCATGTAAATAGCGAGTAGCTCTCGGTCGAATGTACTGTAGTTACGTTGAGTATCGGAGAACTTCTTCGAAAAATAGCCAAGTGGTTGCCATTTCCCATTGCTGTATTGTTGGAGAACGGCTCCTGCTGAGAGATCGGATGCGTCGCTGAAGATAGCAAGGGTTGCTTCGTGTGATGGGTGAGCGAGTAAAGCTGCATTTTGGATCGCAACTTTACAAGCTTCAAATGCCTTCGTGGCTTCATCGTTCCATTCAATTGACGTATTATCTTTTTTCTTCGTGTTGTGAAGGTAGGCGTGAAGTGGTGCTTGGATTTCCGCGGCTTTAGGTATGTGTTCTCTGTAAAAATTTATCATCCCAAGAAAACGCCTTAGCTCTTCGATAGTTTTAGGTTTTGCATAATCGATGATTGCTCTGACTTTTTCGGCAGGCGGTTTGATTCCTTCCTTGCTGACGGTGAAACCAAGAAATTGAACTTCTTGCTGTCCAAATATGCATTTCGAAGGGTTGATTGTGATTCCGTTGTTTTCTAATCGCTGTAGCACGGTGCGTAGATGTGTTTCGTGCGTTTCTTTATCAGGGCTTGCAACAAGGAGATCATCAATAAATGCGAAAATGAAATCCAGTCCATGAAGTACTTCATGTATGAATCTTTGGAAAGTTTGACCTCCGTTCTTTAATCCTAGGATCATTCTTGGGAATTCGAATAATCTCATTGGGGTAATTATTGCTGTCTTCTCTATGTCCTCATCGCGTACTCTTATTTGTTGGTAAGCTCGGTTGAGATCGATGGAGAATATAGTCTTGTCTGATAGTTGATGAGTGAAATCCCTGACTCGCGGTATTGGGTAGCGGTCAGGAGTGGTAATAGAATTCAGTCTTCTGTAATCTCCACAAACTCGTAATTCTCCGTTCTTCTTCGGTACAATGTGAAGTGGTGATGACCAAGGGCTTTTGCTTGGACGGCATATTCCTTGCTCAATCATGTTTTCGAATTCCTTTCGAACTTGCTCGTATAGGTGTGGTGCGATTGGACGTGCACGGCAATGAAGTGGTTTCGATGAAATGCTCAACGTCGTTCTTCGGTGTTAATTTCATTGAAGTTATTCTTGTGATACCAGGGTATTCTTCGAGGATCTTGTGATACGGTTGTTGCTCATCTATGCTTCTTATTGTGGGCAGATTGGTTGCTTGGACAAAAGACTGAGATGCAAGATTGGTTTTCCCGTCGATGATTCTTCTATTTTTGATGTCGACGATTAACTGGTGATGTTGAAGAAAATTAGCACCGATGATTGGTTTGCTGACTTTAGCGACGATAAATCTCCATTTGAATGGTCGGTGTAGATTTAAATCAAGTTCCATTGTTTTTTCTCCATATGTAGGAATCACCGTATTGTTTGCTGCATAGAGTTGAAAATCCAGTGGCTTCAACTTCTGTCCTTGCTTCGGCGGTAATACTGAGATATTTGCTCCGGTGTCGATAAGGAAAGTAAGCTTGCTTTTTTTATCGGTGACGAAAAGACGGTAGGACTTTGCTGTTACGCTGGATCCCATCGCATTGAGCGTATTAGTTAGTTCGAGCGCCTTCGCATTTTCATTTTTGAATGTACACGGTTCTGTGCATTTTCTTCCGTCGAACCCGAAACGTCGATGATAGCAGCAGTAAGGGGATCTTGATGTTGAGCTTATTCGACTTCTACTTGCAGAGCGGTTGCGACGAAAAAGTGGTCTTCGTTTTTGCTGATTGCGCTGGTTGTACTGTTGCTGGTAACTGGTGTGATGCCGGGAAGCTTTGAGCGCAGCGACTTCGTTTGATAACTTCCGAATTTTTTTGACTATTGATGTATATGTGTTCGCCTCTTGCTCCATAATGACGGCTTGCTTACACTGATTTTATATATACTGAAGTCTTCCTTCTCGGTGTTCGCCACGGGTTTCCTTCGCGGTGTTTGTACGGGTCACCACTGTAATAGTAGTGGTACGTCGCAGGGTGTTCCTTCTTGGTGTTCGTGTCGGATCTTCCCCCTCGGTGTTCGTACGGGGTCACCACTGTAATAGTGGAGATGGGAGCAAAAAAATGGGAGATCTCCCCTTTTCCTTCTTCACCGGCCACAGTGGTGATCTGAACATGCAACCTACAATCTTCGGAAACTTCAAGCTTCATCATCGTCATAAAATACCCCACCCATTCGCTCCCGAGTAGATATCGTCTGCAGTCTTCATATCCTGCAAGCCATCTAGCTTCACAAGGTTCATCGCAGCACTGGAATAATAATGCTTCCTGTTCCTTCAAGCTACACTCTGCGCTACAGTGTTCAGCACGGCTCTGAGCCTTACTGCTCGCCTCTGCTTCACGGCACTCTCGCAGATTACTTGCCTTCTTCTCGACTCACCGCAGACTACAAGGCAATCTCTTGGCACTTGCACATTCGTCGGCAACGAGGCTGCACTATCGACCTCCGGTCTGAGCAGGGGGGTGATGTAGCGGCGTGTGAAGTCGATGTGGCGCTGAATGATATTTGCGGCTGCTTCTTGTTTCTTTATAAGAACGTCAAATTATCTATATGCAGTCCGCAGTATCGCAGTAGCCAAGGATAGTTAGGAAATAAATGTTTTTTTATCCTCGCCTTCCGCGTTATGGTAGCAGCAGAGTATATATTATTTATTCCCGTTTAGGGTTGATTAGTCTGGCTGCTACATCACTCTCCCCCTAGCGAAAGCGTACCGGAGGCTTGCCGACTCGCCCGTATCTCGTAGTTTTGAAAATAGGTTTTAACTGGGTTGATGTAGATGATGGAGTTTCAAGCTTCCTCGCTGGTGGTTTTGATGATGATGATGAATCCTCTGAAGTATCCTCGTTAATAATATAGGCAGGCGTTAGTCGGTCGATTGAAATAATCGTAGATTTCCTTCCGGGTATTTGTAGTTTAAAAGTCTTGCTATTTCTCTCTAATACTTTATACGGTCCATCGTAGGTAGGTTGAAATTGTTTTTTCATTGCGTCGTTTCTTACAAAAACTTGCTTGCATGTTTTCAAATCTTGGTGAATGAATACTGATTTATTATTTCTGTGTGATTGCATTTCGGTGCATTTCGACGATAAGGCTTTGTTGATTGA